GTGCAGGCGCGCGTGTCGCCGCCCGCGCCGCGCCCGCGGCCCTCCGCCGCCGCGTCGCCGCGCGGCGCCGCTCTACTCATTGCTTTGCTAGCTATTACAAACTTGGCGAAATGATGTTGAAAATTGCTTTTATTTCCTACCTTCCTATCTATCGTGAAATAAACTGAATAATATTTACGTAAGAGAATGAACACTGCCCGGTTGGCGCGGTGGCTGAGTTTGATTCCGCACGTAATAAAACATAAAATAATTATGTTCCTGAATGCACTCACGATACTAGGGTCGCGAAAATTACTTATTCATTACAATAACACATTCTTATAAATTACGTCAAATTCTGGATGGTATAAACATAATGTACATAAGATATTTGTTATGTATAATTATTATGTTGCAAAGTTGAAACATGATGTTCGACAAGTTGTGTTTAAACAAGTTGGAGTAAACTCAAATGTACGGGGGCCAGGGTGCCTCGCGGTCAGTTTGTACATGACTGTCCTTTGGGCTTGGCGGATTGTCCTTAGAGTTGTGCAATGCTATAGGTATACCTATAAATGTTCATGAGACCTAGCGTTATTGTAGAGCGTAACAATAAACGACTGAAATGGGCAATGAAACACATTTACTATGTGGATAGGTATTTAATGTAAAACAAATTAATAAGGAAAGTAAGTTAGGTATTTTTAATAAAAATAAAACAAATTATTTTATACTAGGTGAAGTGGTCGATGGCACAACACTTCTTACTTGTATTTCTTAGTCTTACTATCGAAACGTTTGGTTTTAAAAAACGACCGATTTTTAATTTTCAAGTCGTCTTTAACTTGTGACAGCGAAATTGAACCCTGTTAAATGAAAATATCGTTACTTTAATAAAATTAAGTCCTTGTAGAGGTAATATAATGACAAGTCATTATGGTTAATAGCTCGTTATGTTACATATTATATCTATATGGCTGCAAATCTACAATGCATGTAGGTTCATGTTGAGAGAAAAGTCCAAGGGCGAGGTATGAAGTACCTACTACTGTAAGTAAATCGGAGTGCAGTTACGGATTTCCAGATAAAACACTACTGTCTTTGGCCGATATCTCGCCCGGTGGTTTTGCCGTGTCATGCAAGCTCACATTTTTCTCACAAGATATTTGAACCGTACGGCGTTTTAGGTGTAACCGTAAAGGAGGCCTTACACGCTAGGGCTTGCCTATCGGTTATGCATGCACGGCTAAAACCATCATGCAAAACTTAGCGTGTAAGGCCTCCTTAAGAATCAAAGTATGTTAGCGCGCTGCACTTTGTTTCAACTACCTACTTCTTTTTCTTCAAATTTGGCCAACGGTACGGTAGGCTTCTGTGTGTATCTACGTAACGACAGCAATTAACTAGGGTGGTATGTCGGATGCGACATAATAATACAACCGTAATGGTATACCAGGGTAGGGTGAAAAGTTTCCGGCCTAACCTAGAAATAGCGCTAGCAGAGTAGCAGGTCAAATTTTTGGCTCGGTCGATCAAAAATTGACCCGGAAAACTGTTTTTATCGAAAACAATTTTATGGGCCAACAAGGTTATGGCGACTGTGTTTTGGGAAGCGAAAGGAATAATCTTCATTGATTGTTTAGCGAAAGGCAAAACTATCAATGGTCAGTACTAGCAAAAGTTATTGTGGAACGTTTGAAGGACGAAGTGATAAATAGACGACGCCAATTGGCGAAGAAAAAAATTTTTATTTGACCATGACAATGTTCCTGACCAATCCAATGATCAATGCTCATTCGTCGGTCGTTGCGATGGCAAAAATCAACGAATTGAATTCTTCCCCCAACCACCTTATTCACCAGATTTAGCCCCCAGCGACTATCATCTGTTCCCTAACCTCAAATAATTCATCCATGCTGTAAATGAATATTTTGAGGGACTTGACGAATTGGGCTTTAAAAATGGCATAACTTTATTTGGAACATCGTTATGAAATTATCAGCCTTGATGGGAATTACGTCAAAAACCAAAAAACCAAAGCGAATTTTTTTTTAAAATTAAGTTGATTTTTATTATCTAGCCGGAAAGTTTTCACCCTACCCAAAGTGGATAATGAACAGACTGGCTGAGTTTAGATGAGTCGCCGCAGTGACGCACCTGCGCCGCCCGCAGCCGGCCGCCGCCGCGCAGCGCCTGGAACCGGCGCCCCACCTCGCGCGCCTGCACACACCGCGCTCTGTACGACCGCTCGCGTAGCGGGCCCTAGCACCTCTGACCTCCGGGGGACACTCACGTCCAGCGCGTCTCCGTCCACGCTGCCGTCGCTGAGGAACCCGAACACGGGGTCGTCGGCGCGGCGCGTGGCCGGCGTGTCGTCTAGTTCGGGAGGCTCGCACTGCTCTGGCGCCACTTTGGGTGCTGCCAAGCGTCCCGTCAGCTCTTTCTGGATGTTGTCGATGGTATTCTGCATGCCTTGGATCCGCTCCTGCAGCCGTTCCTGCCGACCGAAAACGATCCCCGTCATATGGGCATTCCACGAAAGCGGGCGACCAAAAAAGCGGTGATGACATTTCTTTATATTTGAATTACACTTCTAGTGGATATCGATGCGGATTCGTAATATTTTCGTATGATAATTTATTGTCCAGTTCTGGGCTTTTGAAAAATTACAAAATTGCGAGTAGGTAGGTACTTTTTGAATTTGTTAAAATTTCTAAAAGATACGGCTTCTTTAGGTTGATAATTTGTAGTTTATATTACTAGCCGTTACCCGCGACTTCGTCCACATGAAATTGTGACTATTGTATAAATTGGGTTTTTGAAATAGTCTATCCAAAGGAATATTCTACGACTGTACGACTGTAAGAAATATCATCACAATCGATTCGCCGCCATGGTATGCTCCACCGTGTCCTCCGGCCGGTCCTCGCAGTGATGACAGTGTTTTCTCCGTACGTGAAGACGCCGTAGCGTCTCTTATGCCACTTCTCAAAGAGGGGACTTACCGCTGCAATGACAGCGAGTCCAGCCCTCGGTTATCTAAAGGAAAATTGCGTTGTGTTTCGCCGTGTGAGTGAAGTTACCGGAGGCCCAAATACCCCCGTAATCCGAATTATGCGGATATATGTTGTCTACTCGAAATCGATATTTTTTATGTTTTGTTATTCAGATAATTTTCGAAATAAATTATTATGATAGATAAAGAAGATGTATGATGTATGGAATTTCTGAACTTTTTTCATATTATCCTTGCTTGGAGAATAATCTTGGTTATTTGCCATTAATAGGTACTGTAGAGCAATGTGGCATGCGACCACGGCTATCCTCTAAGAACATTTACTTGATTGAGAAAACTTAGAGGTTTTTTTTGTAGTCTGGTTCTAGTTTTGTAACTTATTTTTTCATTTTTGTTATTTTGAGGTATGAGTACAAATAACTAAATATACTATGTTAATCTAACTTACATAAGTAAAATAATTTCTTACTTAACATTGGGCGGCCTGAAAGTTTCTCTCGTGAATTCCAAATTGTAACTAGTTAACGTAGGTTATTGGAAAGGAGACGCCGACGGAAGAATGCTCATGACATGCTGGAGAAGCGGGCTGGTGGTAGGACTACGTTTGATAGGAGAGGGTGCAAGAAGAGCACGTCATTATTACACCGATTTCGAGTAATTCGGGGTAAAGGTACAAGATGGCTCTATTGACTAAAGTGTTATTTATATAAGTACCTTCTCCCCGCGCATGTCTAGAATGATGGTCATCTGTGCGGCGATCTCGCGATCCTTGTCCTGGACGGAGCGCTCGAGGCGCGCCAGTGCGTCGCGTAGCTGCAGCTCAGCGAGGCGCGCCGCGTCGCGCTCGGCGTCGTGCTGGCGACGCGCGGCGGCGGCGCCGGCGTCCGCGCGGGCCGTCCGCGCGGGCGCGCGCGTCTGCCTCGGCGCGCAGGTCTGCCATGAGGCGCGCGATGGTGCCGGTGTTGGCGTCCAGCTCGCGCTCGCGCGCGGCGGCGGCCTCCCGCAGCGCGCCCAGCGCGGCCCTGCGAGTGTCCGCGGTCACTGCATGCTGTGTGTAGTGCTAGGGGGACTAGGAGTGCACGCACCGCTCAGAGTCGAGCTGGGCGCGCGCGTCGTCCAGTTCGCGGCGCAGTTGCTCGACGACGGAGGTCAGTTCGTCGAGGGCGTCGCGTGCTCGACCGCGTTCCTGCTCGGTCTCGTTCAACTGTTCGTTTATTTTGATCTTCTCCGCTTCGAGGTTGCTTATACGATGTTGCATAGAAAGTATTTCTTCCTTCGAGCTGTGCTGAAGCTGCCGGCGAGTAGTTGATTATCACTCAGAGAACTGACTAAATTGGTACACGTAAGTACGTAACGAATACCTCAAAAAATTGTCGCTACTTACTTCATTCTTGGCAATGATATCTTTCTCTAGGTGGTCGATTAGATCCACGTGTCGAGCTTCCTGCTGTTTCAGATGTTCAATAGTTTTCTTAGCTTCCTAAATGACAATAAATAACTCATAAATACCTACCTATCGATATCATTATAAAAAAATTGATAAAATATTTCTTGTTTGAATTTGGAATCAGTTTTTATATTTGCACCAACTATAATTAAACAGACAGGGTGTCCCTGGAAGTATATGGATCAAATCGAGTAGAGGCATAAAGGAGGTGATTCCTTAACATAGCTCTGGGAATGGGGATTTGATTCTGAACAGTTCGAGAGCAGGGATTGCATACCGGTATCAATTTCGGTTGTGTTTCCTCATTTAGGTTCTTATAAGGTTTCCTCTATTAAATACGGTTCTAGTTCCGGTATCGGTTCCTGTTTGGTTTCCGACGTACCGGTTCTAAATAGTTCCCGTTACAAGGTTTTTTATGACCACATTAAAAAAAAGGGTCAACAGAGGTCAACTTTAATCCAAGGTGTAGTATACCACATAAATTTTTAGACTAATAATAATCTTCTTTCTGATTTAAATAATCTTGTTTCATAAATGACTTTGGAACTGAGAGTCTCGAGCATAAAACTAAAAGTCATGTTTGCAACAACTACACTAAATAATAGACTACCTCGTTGGCCGAGTGGTCGCAAGTGTACCTGCCGGACAAGGGTTCTCGGGTTCGATTCCTGGGTCGGACAAAGTATTACTGAGGCTTCATTACGGAAGAGGGGATGTGTTTAAAGCGTGCTTAGCATAATTTATCATGGCTTTAAGTTCGCCTTCGCTCGTATTCCTAGTATTAGTAGAGGTTACTATACGATATACGAGTATTAAGTAATAATTTATTGTCATTAATGAGATTACATATATCAAAATGAAAACCTTACTAATATTATAAATCGGAAAGTGAGTTAGTTTGTTTGTTTGTTCCGCTTTCACGCCGTAACTACTAAACCGATTGCTTTGAATTTTTACAGACGTAAAGTTAGAAGTCTGGATTAAATAATAGGGTACTTTTTATCACGGAAAAATGTGATATTCCTGAGGGAAAACAAAAGTATTAGTATAGATGGCGCTGTGTGTATTGGTATATGTCACATAGGCTACTTTTTATCTTTTTGTGACGCGAGCGAAGCCGCGGGTAAAAGCTAGTTTCTTTATATTTGAGTGAGTTACAAGTTACACTTTTAGTAAATTTTGATGCGTGTGTGCAATATTTTTATCGAGGTAATTATGCTGTAATCTTTGATCGTAAATTGTTACTTTTCTTCCTCACATATGTAAATCACATACATACGTACCTATACCTAGTGAATAAGCATCAACGATGCTAAGGCTTTGGTGTAAAAAACTGACAGCATTTAAAAAAGTAGCAAAGCTAAATTAATGCTTTATATTAGTTTAATTAGAAAGCACTTTGGAATATTGTAGCGTAGTCTGGCCGTTGGCGGCCGCACTTTTCAGCGCGCTCGCTGCACCTCTAGCGCCTTCAAAAAAGGTTTCTTTCGCACATGGCGTTCTCTGCTGGCACCTTCAGAAGGGTGCGTTCTTACACCAATAGAATGGAAAAATTTGGAATAATTTCACTAGACAATCGCCGACGCGTTGGTGACGCAATGTTTGTGTGTAAAGTGGTGGCCCAATCAGATTGCCTCTCCGCAAATATTGGACCGTTTTGGTTTTCGTGCCGCCTCGAGATTTCGTCGCACTCCAATAACTCCTCTGTGTCCACCGCTTATAAGAAGATCGGTCTTGGGTGTCAATTCTCCAATTGCAAGGAATCAGAACACTGTATTTAAAATATTTGTGATAAAATGTGGCTACACTTGAGGTTGAAATTTCAACGTGATTGCCCATCATGCCAAACGGCAATGCCGGCCGTTGTCAAATTATCGCGTTTACTCGTGGCTACACCTACGGTGCACGTGCATTATCGCGATAAACAATGGCATTTCTCGTTGGTGTGGCCCGGGCATAAATGCAGCGTGCAGTGCGACCTGGGTGCGCTTTGGACGCTCTAAGTCAAAAATGTATGGCCGCTTCACGTGGAATGCCCCTAAACAAAACAAAAAAAACTGGTCATAACTTTTAACCCGTTAAAAATCGGATCCTCATTGTAAAGCAAAAAGTTAAGGAGTTACTTTCTCTATAGCCTTGTTCCACTTGATCCATACTTTCAGGGACACCGTATATATTTTTAAATAGTCTTGTATTAAAAATGATTCCCCATAAATCGGTGTTACAAGAAATCAAATTGCCTACTAATTTTATTTTTACGGTTTTATTGTAAAGATTTTTGAATCTGTAATCGAGTCATTCGTACATATATTGTGAATTTGAACTAACCGTCGGTAATGATCTCAATTAAGCAGGCAGGTAGTTGTTTGAGCTAAGTAACGTAAGCACGGTATGATCGTATTACAGTAGGTACGTACGTCCAGCAGGGCGGCGCCGCGCTGTAGTTGCTCGTCGCGCGCCGACACCTCGCGCCGCGCCGCGCGCGCCCTGTACACCGCCAGCTTTTTGTGAACTAACACTGGCCATCACGACGACACCGAGACAATACTTTCGCATTCTCAAACCAATATATAACAATATTTTATGGCTAATTACCTAACCGATATGTAAATAACGTTTAAATAATTCTTTATAGGTAGGTACGTGACTTTAGAACGATAATATTTATAATTTACAGTTCGTAAATAGGTACCTACTTCATCATCATTAAAACTTCATCGTCAGTTCGTTACACATTTCAAACATCGCATTCAATCATATTTCTAAATTGATTTACACTCACATATTATTATGGTACACATTCAGTGGAATGTTAATGCCTACATATGATTAAGACCTCGTTTCAGACGGCATTCAATTATAGGTTAAGTAAAATAAGATAAAGTAAGTACATAATTTATACTGACTCATCTTCCAGTCGCGCGATGCTCTGTTTCATATCCGCAGCCTGCGAGTCAAACTGCTGCACCAGCCGCGACACGTCGGCCCGCATCGCGGCCGCCGCCTCGTCCGCCTGCAACAGGCACACTGCTGCACCAGGCGCACCCCCGCCCCGCGCCCGCTCCCGCCCCACTCACCTGTCGCAGGCGGGTGGCCAGCGCGTCCCTGGCGGCGGCGAGCTCGAGTGCGCGGGCGCGCGCGGCCCCCAACTGCTCGCGCGCGTCCGCTAGTGACTGCGCCGCCGCGCTCTCGCGGCTCGCCGAGCGCTGCCCTGTACAGTCAGTAGACCGATCCTACTGTACGCTCGGTCTGCCTACTTCTATGCTGATACTGTTTAATCGGTTAAAGACTCGACTCACTGTTCATAACCTGTACATAGCTGCAGTTATCAGACACAAATAGATATAACGACAATAGAGGTACATAATTACAATAAGTATTGTATCTCAGACGGCACATCGAGCTACATCAGATATGCTGCTGATTGGCTTCATTTTTACAATGCCGTGAAAGATAAGTAATTAACAAATCACTATAATACTCAATCGCACAACTTGAGGAAAATCTATAGGTCCTTATAACAAATGTGTAGAGAGTTCAATTCCGTCCGTCCGTCCGTCCGTCTGTACGTTCCTTATATGTAGAAACAAAAAGTACTCGACGGATTTTAACGAAACTTGGTTCAATTATTCTTCTCTTGGGGAGGTTATACTTAGTATACCTACTCTCCATCGCGCTTTATTAAATACTAGCGACCCGCCCCGGCTTCGCACGGGTGTCATATGCATGTATTATACATACAAACCTTCCTTAAGAATCACTCTACCTATTAAAAAAAAACCGCATCAAAATCCGTTGTGTAGTTTTAAAGATCTAAGCATACATACGGACATACAGCGAAAGCGACTTTGTTTTATACTATGTATTGAAGTAGGAGCAGAGCAGTGAAGCGCAATGTTAGGAAAACTGGAGAAGAAGAGAAGGACAAGAGAACTGTTCAGTCGTAATGTTTAAACAAACATAGAAATCATGTATGACGGAAATATTCTTTATGTCTATGTAAAGAAAATCACTATATTATATTTTCTTAATTATTAAATACTCTGTGCTTAATTCTCATTGTAGAATTGGCCGCTTTATCATAAGAAATATAGAATAATTAATATAAAGAGATGTCTCTGCCATTGTGACGTCTGTGTTTTTTTTAGAAGATTCAATGTCATATGGTTATATTTTCTATTTTAGTTAATTTTTCCCATAAAAGGAATAATGCCTAATACAAAGAAATAAAGGCTTAAAATGTTGTTTTTTTGTTGTTTTTACAGGTGAGTTATTTTGTTTATTAGTGTTTATGGTAATTATCTAAGTTAAAAAGTTAAAGTACATTGTACGCAATTATACCTAATAAATAAAAATTTTTGTTGTTTTTACAGAAAAACGCAATTTTGTTTTTATTTCGTTTAATGCGCAATATTATTATAAAACAACATTTTCTGCAAATATTTAACTCACTATGGAGAAGTTGAGATTTGATTTTGCTGTGAAAACATCAGGAGATGGAAAAACAAATATTATTTGCATAACCTCAATAGGTACACCTACTGGACAAGTTTACGGTATACCAGACGAATACCAGCCTGCAAGTTTACATCAAGTAATTATAAATAGTTCAAGTTATACCAAGGTAAAAAAGACATTGACTAAACGGTACCAAACAAGAAAAATATGGATAACCTTAACAGATGAGATATCTAAGACATATTTAGATGAAGGACAAAACCTGCAGTTTAATGATTTGTACCTGGAAGAAATTAGGGAAAACGTCGATGATTATAAAATTTTACCTAGTAGCTCAAGTGAAACATTGGAAAAACTATTAGAAAAATTACTTGATGAAAAACAAACTAAATCTGAAACTCAAAATTTAGGGAAAATCTCAAAAGATTTTATGATTGAGAAATTTAATGGCAAAAATGCAAATGCTCACCAATGGATTAAAGATTTCAACAAAGAATGTGAACGTTTCCACATTAACGAAGATAAAAAGAAGATTGAAATATTAAAAAACTTTTTAGAATACTCTAGTATGGATTGGTACAGCTGTATGTTAATAAAGTTTACAGTTGAATCAGAGTGGAACAAATGGGAGAAAAATTTCTGTGAGACATTCGGAAACAAAGGATGGTCGCCCATCAGATATGCTCTTGCTTTTAAGTATCAAATGGGTTCACTACTTGATTATGGTTTAAAAAAAGAAAAATTATTACTTGAAGTGAGAAAGTCGATTGATACTGGAACCCTTATAGACCTTATAGCAGCAGGTTTGCCTAATTATCTGATTGATAAAATTGACCGAGAGACTTTACAAGAAACCGAAGATCTGTACAATGAGTTAGGAAAACTAGAACATCTTGTTAGAAAGAACAAATATGATAAAAAACCCTATATACAATCTGACACAAAAACTACCTCTAAGAAATTTGAAGAGAAAAAGCCATGCAAAATCTGTGTCGCTGAAAATAAAGGGAACCGTTTCCACCTGGAGGAAAATTGTTGGTTTAAGGGGAATAATAAAAAAGGTGTTGTGAAAAGTGTAAACAACTCTGAATTGGAAATTGAACTAAATAATGAGAATCCAAAAAACTAGAAGTACCACCATTAATAAAAGTACCATTACTAATAAACGACACTTTACAAGTTTCTGGAATTTATGATTCTGGTTCAAATGTGTCGTTAATTAATGCTAAATTATTAAAGATACAAGAAAAAGAAGATGCAAGTATTACACAAACAGCTAACTTGAAAACTATTAATGGTGAGAAGAAAACAAAAGGTACGGTAACTCTAAAAATAAAAATGTTTGATATGGAGAATATTGTAAATATTTTTGTCATAGAAAATGAAAATTTTCATTATGATTTTTTGATTGGCTTAGATAGCATAAAGAAGTTCAAATTAATGCAAAATGAAGACTTAAATATAATACAATGTAACAATTCAGAAGAAGGGAAGTTCCTAAATGAGGAGAATGTGAAAAATAACAATTTAAATTTAAGAAATGTCAATATTCCTGATGCACTAGGTGACAAAAATAAAAAAGATGTTTCTTCATACACTAAAGTATTGAAACAAGAAACTAATTATACGAAACCAGCCTGCAACGCGCCCGCGCTCAGTGTGCCGGCCAGACGCCTCGGGCCCGTGGGTACCTACTTGTTGAGCGTGTCGGGGCGCAGGCGCAGCGCGCGCGGCCCACGCAGCGCCGCAGCCGCTCGCCGTACTCCTCCAGCGCCTCGCACACGCCGCGCGCGCCCGCCAGCCTGCAACGCGCCCGCGCTCAGTGTGCCGGCCAGACGCCTCGGGCCCGTGGGTACCTACTTGTTGAGCGTGTCGGGGCGCAGGCGCAGCGCGCGCGGCCCACGCAGCGCCGCAGCCGCTCGCCGTACTCCTCCAGCGCCTCGCACACGCCGCGCGCGCCCGCCAGCCTGCAACGCGCCCGCGCTCAGTGTGCCGGCCAGACGCCTCGGGCCCGTGGGTACCTACTTGTTGAGCGTGTCGGGGCGCAGGCGCAGCGCGCGCGGCCCACGCAGCGCCGCAGCCGCTCGCCGTACTCCTCCAGCGCCTCGCACACGCCGCGCGCGCCCGCCAGCCTGCAACGCGCCCGCGCTCAGTGTGCCGGCCAGACGCCTCGGGCCCGTGGGTACCTACTTGTTGAGCGTGTCGGGGCGCAGGCGCAGCGCGCGCGGCCCACGCAGCGCCGCAGCCGCTCGCCGTACTCCTCCAGCGCCTCGCACACGCCGCGCGCGCCCGCCAGCCTGCAACGCGCCCGCGCTCAGTGTGCCGGCCAGACGCCTCGGGCCCGTGGGTACCTACTTGTTGAGCGTGTCGGGGCGCAGGCGCAGCGCGCGCGGCCCACGCAGCGCCGCAGCCGCTCGCCGTACTCCTCCAGCGCCTCGCACACGCCGCGCGCGCCCGCCAGCCTGCAACGCGCCCGCGCTCAGTGTGCCGGCCAGACGCCTCGGGCCCGTGGGTACCTACTTGTTGAGCGTGTCGGGGCGCAGGCGCAGCGCGCGCGGCCCACGCAGCGCCGCAGCCGCTCGCCGTACTCCTCCAGCGCCTCGCACACGCCGCGCGCGCCCGCCAGCCTGCAACGCGCCCGCGCTCAGTGTGCCGGCCAGACGCCTCGGGCCCGTGGGTACCTACTTGTTGAGCGTGTCGGGGCGCAGGCGCAGCGCGCGCGGCCCACGCAGCGCCGCAGCCGCTCGCCGTACTCCTCCAGCGCCTCGCACACGCCGCGCGCGCCCGCCAGCCTGCAACGCGCCCGCGCTCAGTGTGCCGGCCAGACGCCTCGGGCCCGTGGGTACCTACTTGTTGAGCGTGTCGGGGCGCAGGCGCAGCGCGCGCGGCCCACGCAGCGCCGCAGCCGCTCGCCGTACTCCTCCAGCGCCTCGCACACGCCGCGCGCGCCCGCCAGCCTGCAACGCGCCCGCGCTCAGTGTGCCGGCCAGACGCCTCGGGCCCGTGGGTACCTACTTGTTGAGCGTGTCGGGGCGCAGGCGCAGCGCGCGCGGCCCACGCAGCGCCGCAGCCGCTCGCCGTACTCCTCCAGCGCCTCGCACACGCCGCGCGCGCCCGCCAGCCTGCAACGCGCCCGCGCTCAGTGTGCCGGCCAGACGCCTCGGGCCCGTGGGTACCTACTTGTTGAGCGTGTCGGGGCGCAGGCGCAGCGCGCGCGGCCCACGCAGCGCCGCAGCCGCTCGCCGTACTCCTCCAGCGCCTCGCACACGCCGCGCGCGCCCGCCAGCCTGCAACGCGCCCGCGCTCAGTGTGCCGGCCAGACGCCTCGGGCCCGTGGGTACCTACTTGTTGAGCGTGTCGGGGCGCAGGCGCAGCGCGCGCGGCCCACGCAGCGCCGCAGCCGCTCGCCGTACTCCTCCAGCGCCTCGCACACGCCGCGCGCGCCCGCCAGCCTGCAACGCGCCCGCGCTCAGTGTGCCGGCCAGACGCCTCGGGCCCGTGGGTACCTACTTGTTGAGCGTGTCGGGGCGCAGGCGCAGCGCGCGCGGCCCACGCAGCGCCGCAGCCGCTCGCCGTACTCCTCCAGCGCCTCGCACACGCCGCGCGCGCCCGCCAGCCTGCAACGCGCCCGCGCTCAGTGTGCCGGCCAGACGCCTCGGGCCCGTGGGTACCTACTTGTTGAGCGTGTCGGGGCGCAGGCGCAGCGCGCGCGGCCCACGCAGCGCCGCAGCCGCTCGCCGTACTCCTCCAGCGCCTCGCACACGCCGCGCGCGCCCGCCAGCCTGCAACGCGCCCGCGCTCAGTGTGCCGGCCAGACGCCTCGGGCCCGTGGGTACCTACTTGTTGAGCGTGTCGGGGCGCAGGCGCAGCGCGCGCGGCCCACGCAGCGCCGCAGCCGCTCGCCGTACTCCTCCAGCGCCTCGCACACGCCGCGCGCGCCCGCCAGCCTGCAACGCGCCCGCGCTCAGTGTGCCGGCCAGACGCCTCGGGCCCGTGGGTACCTACTTGTTGAGCGTGTCGGGGCGCAGGCGCAGCGCGCGCGGCCCACGCAGCGCCGCAGCCGCTCGCCGTACTCCTCCAGCGCCTCGCACACGCCGCGCGCGCCCGCCAGCCTGCAACGCGCCCGCGCTCAGTGTGCCGGCCAGACGCCTCGGGCCCGTGGGTACCTACTTGTTGAGCGTGTCGGGGCGCAGGCGCAGCGCGCGCGGCCCACG